CAGTTTTATAATAGATATTGCTGTAACATCCTTGTCATCATGGGAATATTAGAGAGTAGGTGGTTATCAGGGCCCTTTGTTCTATAGTGTCATGCTTTAAATCGCATGTGTTCAAACAGAATGTGCTCTTTGAGTAGTAATTTATAGTGTTTTCTAGTAAATCTTGGATAACTTAGATTTAAATTTGTGATAAAAGATTATTTGATTTCCAGTTATATTTCCTCTAAATCCTGTCTCCCTTATTTCTGTCTTGTCCTTTGTATTGTAATATATTTGCCTGAGTAGATCCTTGAATTTTTAGCTTTAAATCGTGTCATAAATCTGGTGTCTATTTCTTTGCATGCGTCTTGTTAGCCTAGCAACTTAAGGAAACATCATAGAAAGGTAAATTTTCCAGTAAGTGAGCATACCTTTGTATCTTCCTAATGCATGGAAGAGTATAGTATGTCACATATAAGTGTAATGTTGTCAATATATTGTAATGAATAACTGATGTTTCATTGGAAATGTTTAAACTGACCTGCCACATCACAAGTTACTGTTCTCTTGGCAATCAGCCATCCATGTAACATGGGGACAGATGTCAGTGCTTGCTATACTCAGAGCTTTTGCCCCTAACCATTGCATGCGTGTGTATAATAGATGGAAAATTTAGGATTTGAAAGGAGGGAATGATTGAAGCAGAGCCATAGGCTTTAGATGGAGGAAAAACAGTTTTCTCTGATATGGAAGGCTAGAACTTAGTAAGCACTGCTCTCTGCCAGGTGCCAAACTCAGTACTTGGCCATTTTTTTGCTATATTTAGTCCACGAGCACATCCCCGTGAGAAACCAGTTGCTGTGCTTGCCCCCAATTACAGATGTGGAAACTGAAATTTAGATCACATGATGTGCAGAGCAGGTATAAGTTAAGTCTGTTTTGATTCCAAAACCAGGACCATTTCTCCCTTGGGCCTGGATTTTTCAAGATGTTCTGATCTGCTGACAGTCTCCCTCTCAGAGGAAACCTTGGAAGTAAAAGCGGTGCCCTGGAAGCAGTGGGGATTGCGGAGTTTTCTTTCTGTCAGTCTAGAAGCTCCCCCTAATGCCTGCTGCCTCTGGCCCTGTGCTATGCCCGCTTCATGCTTCCTGCCTTCCTGGTGGTGCACTTGTGGGGCAGTGCTGCTGCAGGTGCCAAGTGGTGATTGTCCTCAGCAGCTGTGTGTGAGCTTCTCTATGTGGCTGAGCAGAAGTGTAATTTAGTAAGGACACAGGTACAGATCCTCACTCTGTTGCTGATTAGTTCCTGGCCTGGGAGCTGTTCCTTGGCCCAGTGGAACCATGGCTTGCTCTCTTGTAAGTGAGGTAGTGATCCACACAGTAGTGCTGTTTGGAATGGCCCTGATCTGTGCCCGCCCAAAGTGAGATGCCGCGCTTTCACCAGCAGCCGGCCTCAGAGCTTACCTCTGTTCAGTGGACTTCAGTGTGGTTTGGATATTTTGGTTTTGGCAGTAAGAATTTCTCAGCAAAGGAAGCAGTCTGTTGACTTACACTCAGACACTCTAGCCTCGTCTTGTTCACTAGTCATCTCTCCTCAGCATGCAGCCTGGTGACTTAGAGGAGACTTGCTCTGGGCTGGCTATGAAAATTAGCCTAGCAATGAGTCTAAGGACAGCAAATATGGACCAGACAAAGACTGGTATGGGATGGTTACTTTTACACTTTAGTTTTACCTGGCAGAGCGAGGTGACTTCTTGGCACTTGTAGAAAGGTCTGAGACAAGGCAGTGGGTCCTAGCCTTGGGTTTCCTCTCACAAGAGAACAGAGGCAGAATGAAGGCCTGGTTCAATGAGCCTAGAATGCTCTGGGCAGAGCGGGGCCAATGTAGGGGAGTCTTGGTGCAAGAATCACTTTTTGTGGGTGGAGCATAAGTATAGTGCCTTACCTCTTCTTTTTTCTTTTCTATTTTAACAAATGATTGTTTTAACCTGAAATTTTAAATGATGCCTGGTAAACAACATGATCTTAAGTTTGATTTTTGGGTCCCTCCCAAAAATATTTTTGAACTTTTATGATTCTTGTTAGTAATTTCAAGCATGATGGCCTTCTTTAGAGATGAGATTGCTGGACGTTAAACACGGGGCCTTGAACATAATAAGTAAGCATGCTCTGATTACCCCAGCCCACAGCAGTCTTGTTTTGTTACTACAATTAGAAATGAGAGTCAGACAAGGTGGTATATGCCTGTAATCCCAGCACTCAGGAGGCTGATACAGGAGGACTGCTGGAGTTTGAAGCCAGCCTGGACTACAGTGTGAGTTCATGGCCAGCCAGAACTGTATAATGAAACCTTATCTCAAAAAAGAGAGAGAAAGATACAGAATTTGTCTGTTTATCTGTTAAGATTATATCATGTTATATATCCTAATTTAAGATTGTATCCTAAGTTAACATTGTATCCTATGTGATTTTAGACTTGCAGCCTCTAGAACTGTCAGAAATAATTATCTGTTGTTTATTAATACCCAGCCTATGACTATGGTAGTTTTTTTTTTTTTATAGTAGCTGGAAGTGACTGGGAGAGGGAGACTGCTAACAACATAAAGCCTCCTCATCTAGATGAGCATGAAACTAGATTCCACAGTGCTTAAAAATAGATAATACTAAGACATGCTTACAGAGATGACTACTCACAAACAGGTGCCTATTTCACTCGATCACAAATGGGTGGAGAATCTGCCAAAACTGCCAAAATAAGTGAGCATGATACTTAGAGACAGATTAACATCCATAGTAACAGGGACTGGCGGTAAAACGAAGCAGGTATGACAAAAAAACAACTTGGAATCTAGTAAATGAAACAGACCTTAGCTAGAATGATACAGTCTGTTGTGGACACGGTCAAAGACGGAGCATTGGCAGTAAGTCACCAAAGGTGAGCCAGATTGCAGCAAGAGAGACAAAATGAGAAAAATTCAAGGCCCTCAATTCAGGCAGGCCTAGAGCCAGGTCCGCCTATTGACGTGTATGAATAGAATTGATTAATTTTTGACTTAGAGTAATTAGAGTCTACTTTTCTTCTACCTGCCCCAGAATCTTTCTGATAAAAGATTCCATTAGAGAGAGGGCACACTCTGTCAGGAATGGTACTTATTAGGTGACCTGACAGTGAGCTCTTGCTTATCACCATGGCCGATGCCAGTTAGTACCTCGATCAGGGCCGTGTTGGCATCTACAGGAGAAATCTGTACCACAGGGAAGAGCTCACACTTAGTAGAGAACATGACAGAAGTCTAGATGGCCGGCTGGCCAATACCCTTTCCCCTACTGCTTCGCATCCACAAGTCCCATTCCTGAAGGTTGGCTTTGGGCCTATGAAGATGTCTCAACACTGGCTGGAACTCTGTCAGGTTTTAAGACACATTTGGATGATTTTTATCTGGTTGGCAGGCAGGAGCAAGCAGACCCTATGTTAGTGGCCTTGGTGAGGGGGCATTTGAGTGTGAGGAGACAATCCTGCATGGCAGGTCCAGGGAGCAGAGCCTGTGTTGTTGGCCTGGGGAAAGGACCTTACCTTGTTGGCCTGGGGGAAGAAGGGGCCTTCAGTTGGTCTGGATATGAGAATCATGTGTTGCTAGCTGGGAAAGAGAAGGCTCTGCTGGCCTGGGGAGAAGAATCTCTATGTTGTTATCTGGGGAGCCACCATGGTTTTGGCCTGGTGAAGGGCCCTGTGTTTTTGGCTGGAGGAGTCCGCTATGCTGAGCTGGGTGGGGGAGGCAAATAGAAGTCCTAATTCAAATACCATGGACTCCTGGCCTTATTCCTGATATTTCTTGAATAGATAATTTCCTCATTTGCTGTTATCCTTTGAGCCATTTAGTTCGGCTCACCCACAGTCGTGATTTTTTGGAGAAGAAAAACTAGTTTAAAAGAAATTTTGCTCTTTTCCAGTGCTTTCTGTGGCAGTGTCATCTCTATTTCTCTCTCACTTTACTTGCCCAATCTCACTGTGGCTCACATAGGCACATGAGTCGTGGTCTGGTTAAAGCAGACTTCATGGGCCTGTGCTTTCTGTGATGAGATTGACTGTGAGCTGCAACCAATTGCTACCAGTGCCCTGTAAGAGCATCGCCTGTTTTAAACTAGCTTTCTAGAATTATCTAGCTCAAGCACATGTTCTTTTGAAGGACTGATTATTTATCCGGTAGATCTTTATTCTTGTCTTTTAAAGGAAAAGCACCTAAAGCCAGAAACACTGGCAGATGATTTTACTTATTTCAGAGTTGCTTTGCTCCAAATTCACATTGCTCAATTCAGTTCATTTGTGGTATCTGTGAACCGGTGTCATAACACAAGGTTTAGCACAGAACAGTGCTGCAGGACTCCTGCAGCTTCTCTCTGCCTTTTGCAAGATCTCCTACACTGCTGCATGCATAGTGTTTTGAGAATGCCTTTACAGAGAATACAAAAGGCTTCCTAGTCCTAGCAGTAAGCCCATTCTTCATAGTTGACTTTGCTCCAATGATTCAGGGAGACTATAGGGACTAAGGGAAAATCAGAATAGAGAGGGGACTAGAATTGGATAGTGACCTTCTAGGCCTTTTTTCCTTGATTTCTCTAAGGGCTCTAGGTCTCAGATCTGTGACTGACTTACAAATGTCTTCAGATGCTTCATTTTGGGATGCCAATTGAGGAAAATGCTTTTATTTCCTGAAGTCTAAAGAGGTGGACCTGGACACTCATTATCCCCTGCTGTGCTTTCAGCAGTGCCAGGGTGGAGGGAAGTCAGATGGCCTGGGTTAGACTCTCATTCCATTGGGAATACCTATGTCACCTTACGGCAAATGGTTGATCTCCATTTCTCTGGAGGAGAATGGGAATCCTTTGCCATGTATCTTGAGATTGGGCTGCCTATGTGTGTGGACTATGAGGCCAATGGAAGTCTTGCTTAAGAGGTTTTTTTTTTTTTTTAAATTTATTCATGTATGTGTTGATTTATTCCTTTACTTTGCTGCTTTGCAGGAGTCTTCAACACTTGCAAAAGAGCTCAACATTTGCAGGGAACAGCTGCTTGAGAAGGAAAAAGAAATTGCTGAACTGAAAGCAGAAAGGAACAACATGAGGGTCAGTGGAGCTCTGGTTTAAGTGTTTTGTGCTTTTTCCTTCTGTAGAGTGTGTTCAGTATTAAATGTTGCTTAAAATTTGTGATAGAAGGCAAAGCATGGTGGCATATGCCTTCAATCCCAACATTCTGAGCCAGGAATGTCTTGAGTTAGAGGTCAGCCTGGGCTAGCTAGTAAGTCCTCAAGCCAGCCTAGACTACAAAATGAGACCTTCTTGTTAATAAAAGAAATTAGTGATGGAAATTCATGACATTCGAATACAACTGAGGGAAATTTACCTAACTCTACTGAATTGTAGGAATTTGAACTTGTTTGACCATGAGATTATGAAGGATTTGAATGTGAAATTGAAGGTGCTCTTTACACGCCCCCTTTGGCCTGGTTTCAGCTGCTCCTGGAACATCTGGAGTTCCTTGTCTCCAGGCATGAACGCTCTCTCGAAACGACTGTGATGAAGCGGCAGGCGCGGTGTCCTGCAGGTGTGTCCACAGAGATGGAAGTGCTAAAAGCACTGACATCCTTATTTGACCACCACAAGACCCTGGACGAAAAGGTACATGAGCTACACTAGTGGTTCTGGGTTCTTACACTTGCTGGGTTCATGGCAGACTTTGCATGTGTTTGTTTACCTTTAAGGTTTGCTAAGTTTTTGAGTTCTTGTAAACAGACTTTCTGTATTAAAAGGCAATGTTCTGCATAATCAACAAACACTAACTGGAATGTGAGTCTTCAATTGATTATTTCTGAATATTGACTGCCCATTAAGAACTGGATAGTGTTCATTTATTTAGGAACAAGAGTTTCCCGGCCTTAATATTTAAAGCCATTAACAAGGACATTTTCTTGACAGTACTAGCAATGAAAGACATTGAAAGTACTTTATTATATGCCTTTCATCAATATCAGGATAACTATATGGAAAGTGTGCGTATGCATATAAAAACTCAACTCTTTTCAGGTGCGAGAGCAATTACGTGTAGCACTGCAAAGGTGCAGCTTGCTGGAAGAGGAACTGGGCGCCACGCAGAAGGAGGTAATTGTGGGACATCATCCTAGCCCTGAAAAGGGAAAATTATTTTATTTTAATCTCTTAAAAAACAGTGTGAAGCCTGTAATACTATTGGATTAGATTTTTATTTCAGATTGCAAGAATCTCTAAATTTGTTGTCAAGCAGTCAGTACATTCTGTTTCTAGTAATCTGGTTCTGCTATGGATGGTCAGCTTTGGCATGTACTGTCTTTTTTATACTATGTTCAGCACTGTAGAATTATGTTTTTCCAAATGGAATTTTGCTGTCTTTACTCATTACTCTTCCATAAGTTATTGTAGTCTCATACTCAGTTTTCGATTGTAGCTAATGACTCTTAAAAAACAGAATAATGAGAAAAAATCACCAAGAGATGGAGTGCTTGACCATGAACAAGAAGAAACACCAAGCACTAGTGGAAAGGTAAGTCCTTGAGATCTCTCTTTGTTCTGTTGCTGATTTCTTATATTTTGTGGTTCGTGTGTGATGCTGTTTGGATGCTGTTGCTGGAATGGCCTGCTTCCAGCTAAAGTGATTGTTGAGAGTCCTATCATCCAACAGATGGCATAAATCCATTTTGATAGTCCCTATGTTCAAAAGTATTTTATTTGGTAGTACACTAAGGTTATTTAAGAGTGTCCATTTTACCCATCAGAGATCTTCTGCTGGCTCCTTAAGCCATGAGGAAGACCTTGCCAAAATAATTGTGCTCCAAGAAGTCATACACAAACATTCAAAAGAGCAGAGTCAGATGAAGGAGCTCCTGGCTGCACTTTCCAGCCATGTGTCAGAGCTGCAAGAAAATCTTGACACAGCAAGAAAGGATCTCATCAAGTCTGAAGAGATGAACAAGAAATTGGAACGAGATGTTCATGAAATAAGTGATAAAAATTACAGGGTTGTCATAATGTTGAGTGCTTGGAGTGTTAAGGATAATGATTCCTTTTTTTTTTTTTTTTCCTTTCCTTGGTCGGTTATTTTCAGCATTTGCACTGTTGAATGAGTATAAATATGAATAATACAACACAGTATTGCTGTCAGATCGTGACATACCGCCTCCCCCTGGTTGAGAAATTTCTCCTTTTCTGTGGTCTTTTAAAAAGGTAGAGGAGAACTTGCCCAGCTTTTCCCACTTAGTTTATGGGAGTTTGTCCTCCACCCTCATGTGGATTCTTCATCTTTGCAGCTTCTTGGCTGTCATCATGTGTTCTTCTTTATGTTCAGCTTCTCAAGTACATGCACTCCTTAAACAAGGATTTTCAGTACTAGTTGTGCTTTGAGTTCACTAAAGAGATGTGAGTATTCTCTGGGACTGTGGCAAAGGGAGCATTATCAGGTGTCTTCTAATTTTTTCATATTTTTCCTCAGGCACAGAGGTATGGTATTGAATTTTGGATGTTACATCAGCTCTAATGTGTGAATAGTTTTTGGGTAGTTTAGGCTTTGTGCTTATCTTGCCTATGAGATCTCATTTCATGTGAAATTGTATTTACAACATTCTGCTTTGCACCTGTACTTGTATCTTTGGTTTTATTTCTCTTGCTATACATTTTACTTTTTAGTGGCATTCTTAGCCAGAATATTAATCAAATTAAGCAAGTCATTTTAGTGGAATGTTCAGTGTCAGCAGTCTGTTTTGTGACATTTGGATGTATTTATAATTTATACTGTTAACTAACTGAGCAATATTTTTCTTTTCTTTTCCTGTTTTTTTTTTTTTTTTTTTGGACATATTGGGTTTGAACCTAGGGTTTCTCACATACTAGGCAAGCACCAAACCACTCACCAAACCATTTTCTTTTCTTTTTTCTTTTCTTTTGGTACTATGAATTGAACTCATGATGTTCTGCTTGACAGGCAAGTGCTATGCCATGGAGCTATATCCCTGACCCTTTTTCTTCTTTTCAAACTTATTTTATTTATTAGTGTTTGGTTTTTTGAAAAAAGGATCTTGTGGTGTAATTCAAGCTGGCCTTGAACTCATGGCAGTTCTCCTGCCTCAGCCTCTCACATGCTGGGATTACAGACATGTGGCACCAAGCCTGGCATTGTATTTTCATCTTTTTGACAATCTCATTTATCAGTTGTGTCCTTCTTTCCAGTATTTGTAAAAGAAGTGCAGCAACACATCTGTAATCCCAGCTACTTGTGGACTGAAGTGGGAGGTTTGCCAGTTTAAGGTCAGCCTGGGCAATTTAGGAAGACACTGACTCAAAAAGAGCTGAGTATCCCAAGCATAGTGGGTGAACCCTATCTTTCTAGCTACCCAGGAGACTGAGGCAGACAATCATAAGTTCAAGGGTAGGCTGCCCAATTTAGCAAGACCTTGTTTTGAAATTAAAAGGAAAAAAATATGGGACCATAGCTCAGTGTTAGAGTACCCCTGCCTTCTATTCCCAGTACCACACACAACCACGGAGGAAAATTCTTTCTTCCTGGTTCTCTAATTCAGCATGCTGGCTGACGGTCTGTGTGCTTCCATTGTTGGTTTTGATTTCTTATGCCACCCTTGTGTTTGTTTTATTTTAACCATCTCCAGATTCAATTCTAATCCAGGCCTCAGGTCCCTATCAATTTGTAGTTTGTCCATGAAGCTCCCCTCTCAGCCCCTCCCCATTCTGTGATGGCTCTGCACAGCTAACCAGGCAAGCACGTGTGAGTCTGAGCTGGATTATGACTGATTAGTGGGGCTTGGGGTTTTTGTCATTAAAAATGTATTTTGCTCAGTAGTGATCAATTATATTTAATATATAATTTGTCAATGTGGTTACAAGCAAGATATAATTGGTTGAATGTTTTTCCTTAGATTGTACAGGATCTGCATGATTCATGAGTGAAGTATTTCCTAGGTTAAAAAATAATCTGGGCTCACTGCAGTGGCACATGCCTGTAATGCCAGCTACTGGGGAAGCTAAGAAGGAGGATTTTAAGTCTGAGGCCAGCATGAGAAGTTTAGCAATGTGCTATGTCAAAATAAAAATATAAACGTGGCTGGCAGTGTAGTTTGTTGAGTGGCCCAGCTGGATTCAACCCTGCATACTGCAGGAGCAAGGGGAGGGGCCACTGCTGAGTGTAAAATTTATGGGAACTTTATACAGACAATACGAATCAGATTTTATTGATTATAATCAGAATTCTAAATCTCATCAACTTATAGGGCATATGCTATAGTCTTTAATGGACTACTTTTTAATTAAAATGCCTCCTATCTAGTACTGTGCTAGCTTTTATTGTTACGTATTTTAGGATGCCTAGCTTTCTTTCTTTCTTTTTTTTTTTTTCCATTCCATTCCACTCCTTTGTATTCCACAGTATCTCGGATGGAATCTAGGCCTGTGCACTGAGATACACACATGACCCTTTTTTTTTCAGTATTATTTTTTATTGTGAGACAGGATCGTGCTAAATCACCAAGATGAGCTCAAACTTGGCAGCCTTCCTGCCTCAGCCTACCAGAGTGCTGTGATTTCATGTGTATGCCACTGCACGAGGGATAAATGATATATTTTAGGAAGTTGTAAATCATATTCTAGGTGAAGATTTTACTGCATTGCACAAAAAATGATTAACTAAAAATAAGTTTGTTCAGTGTTTTGTGTTTTTCTGAGACAGGATGACACCATGCAGTTCAGGCTGGCTTTGAACTCATGTAGTGCAGGTTGGCAGTTCTCCAGGCTTAGCTTCACAAATGCGGGGATTACAAGTCTGCACCACCATGCCTGGCTCTTCAGTTTTATAATAGATGTTGCTGTAACATCCTTGTCATCATGGGAATATTAGAGAGTAGGTGGTTATCAGGGCCCTTTGTTCTATACAGTGTCTTGCTTTAAATCGCATGTGTTCAAATAGAATGTGCTCTTTGAGTAGTAATTTATAGTGTTTTCTAATAAATCTTGGATAACTTAGATTTAAATTTGTGATAAAAGATTATTTGATTTCCAGTTATATTTTCTTTAAATCCTGTCTCTCTTATTTCTGTCTTGTCCTTCATATTGTAATATATTTGCCTGAGTAGATCCTTGAATTTTTAGCTTTAAATCGTGTCATAAATCTGGTGTCTATTTCTTTGCATGCGTCTTGTTAGCCTAGCAACTTAAGGAAACATCATAGAAAGGTAAATTTTCCAGTAAGTGAGCATAGCTTTGTATCTCCCTAATGCATGGAAGAGTATAGTATGTCACACATAAGTGTAATGTTGTCAATATATTGCAATGAATAACTGACTTTTCATTGGAAATGTTTAAACTGACCTGCCACATCACAAGTTACTGTTCTCTTGGCAATCAGCCATCCATGTAACATGGGGACAGATGTCAGTGTTTGCTTCACTCAGTGCTTTTGCCTCTAACCATTGCATGCATGTGTATAATAGACATAGAATTTAGGATTTGAAAGGACGGAATGATTGAAGCAGAGCCATAGGCTTTAGATTGAGGAAAACTAGTTTTTTCTGATATGGAAGGCTAGAACTTAGTAAGCACTGCTCTCTGCCAGGTGCCAAACTCAGTGCTTGGCCATTTTTTTGCTATATTTAGTCCACAAACACATCCCTGTGAGAAACCAGTTGCTGTGCTTGCCCCCAATTACAGATGTGGAAACTGAAATTTAGATCACATGATGTGCAGAGCAGGTAGGAGTTAAGTGTGTTTTGATTTCAAAACCAGGACCATTTCTCCCTTGGGCCTAGATTTGTCAAGATGCTCTGATCTGCTGGGAGTCTCCCTCTCAGAGTAAAACTTGAAAGTAAAAGCAGTACCCTGGGAGCAGTGGGGATTGTGGGGTTTTCTTTCTGTCCATCTAGAAGCTCCCCCTAATGCCTGCTGCCTCTGGCCCTGTGCCATGCCCGCTTCATGCTTCCTGCCTTCCTGGTGGTACACTTGTGGGGCAGTGCTGCTGCAGGTGCCAAGTGGTGATTGTCCTCAGCAGCTGTGTGTGAGCTTCTCTATGTGGCTGAGCAGAAGGGAAATTTACTAAGGACACGGGTACAGATCCTCACTCTGTTGCTGATTAGTTCCTGGCCTGGGAGCTGTTCCTTGGCCCAGTGGAACCATGGCTTGCTCTCTTGTAAGTGAGGTAGTGATCCACACAGTAGTGCTGTTTGGAATGGCCCTGATCTGTGCCCGCCCAAAGTGAGATGCCGCGCTTTCACCAGCAGCCGGCCTCAGAGCTTACCTCTGTTCAGTGGACTTCAGTGTGGTTTGGATATTTTGGTTTTGGCAGTAAGAATTTCTCAGCAAAGGAAGCAGTCTGTTGACTTAGACTCAGACACTGTGGCCTCCTCTTGTTCACTAGTCATCTCTCCTCAGCATGCAGCCTGGTGACTTTGAGAAGACTTGCTCTGGGCTGGCTGTGAAGATTAGCCTAGCAGTGAGTCTAAGGACAGCAAATATGGGCCAGACAAAGAGCGATATGGGATGGTTACTTCTTCATTTCAGTTTTACTGGGCAGACTAAGGTGACTTCTTGGCACTTGTAGACATGTCTGAGACAAGGCAGTGGGCCCTAGCCTTGTGCTTTCCTCCCACAAGAGAACAGAGGCAGAATGAAGACCTGGTTCAGTGAGCCTGGTAGGCTCTGGGCAGAGCAGGGGCTAGTGTAGGGGAGTCTTGGTGCAAGAATCTCTTATGTCACATTTGGTTTTACTCTCTTCCAAAAAAAGCAACAAGAACCGTGGGAGCAATGAAACCCAAAATGTGTAATAGTCACTGTACAAAAGAGAGGAAAAGAAAGTGCTCTAAACTATATAACTGCATGTATATTTAAATGTATAAGATAGAAAATGATAGCACAAAGTTTTATTGGATCATTGAACAGAACTGTTTGCAGTATCATTGTTGGAATGTCCACTCTACAAGCTTTAATTTTGTGACTTAAACAATTATTTCTAAGATGGCAATATGTAATCCATTAACTAGTGATTTCCTACTGCGCATTTTTTTATTCTGTAAATCTGTATAACTTGTACCCCTTCACTGTTTTTTTTTCTTTCTTTTCTTTTCTCCTTAAATAAATTTAAAAAAAATCTCTTTTTGTGGGTGGAGCATACGTATAGTGCCTTACCTCTTCTTTTTTCTTTTCTACTTTAACAAATGATTATTTTAACGTGAAATTTAAATGATGCCTGGCAAACAATATCCTAAGTTTGATTTCTTTTTCCCTCCCAAAAAGTTTTTTTGAACTTTTATGATTCATGTTGTTGATTTCAAGCTTGATGGACTTTTTTAGAGATGAGATTGCTGGCGGTTAAACACAGGGCCTCAAACAAGCTAAGTAAGTGAGCTCTGGTTACCCCAGCCCCCGACAGTCTTTTGTTTTGTTACTACAATTAGAAATGAGAGCCAAACAAGGTGATATATGCCTGTAATCCCAGCACTCAGGAGGCTGATAAGGGAGGACTGCTGGAGTTTGAAGCCAGCCTGGGCTATCATGTGAGTTCATGGCCAGCCAGAACTGTATAATGAAACCTTATCTCAAAAAAAAGAGAGAAAGATACAGAATTTATCTGTTTATCTGTTAAGATTATATCCTAGCGGGCTGGAAGTTTAGCTCAGCAGCATAAACGCCTGCCTTGTAAGCAGGCAGTCGTGAGTTCGATCCCCAGCACCAATAAAAAGGAAAAAGACAAACAAAAAATTATATCCTAAATGCTCTCAGCTCACACTAGTCTAGGTGGTCTTCAGTGAGCTGCTACAGGACTATAATGGAATCTGTATCCTTTATACCATTGTACAGATAAATAAATTAACTATTCACCACTTGTTGTTCACCATGAATGTTTCATGAAATCTAGTCCTGCTTCAAAACCCAAAAATAACAACCTTCTAAACAGGGCCTAACCAGACCCTGAAAGAGTTCACATATGCACTATTTCCACAGTCCTGCCTTCCTCAACACATAGGCATACTCATGGGCCATCCCCTAAAAGAAATCCCAGGGTCTGCGTGACCCTCTTTTAATAATATACCCAGGATTATTATTATTTTTTTATTTAAGGAGAAAAAGAAAAAAAAACAGAAAAAAGATACAAGTGATACAGAATTTCAAAAAAAAAAAAAACAGTAGGAAGTCACTAGTTAATAGATTACATACTGTCATCTTAGAAATGGTTGTTCAGATTACAAAATTAAAGCATATAAAGTAGACATTCAAACTGTGAGACTACAAATAATTCTGTTCAATGATCCCACAAAAACTTAGCAATATGGTTATCTATCTTATACACTTAAATATACATGCAATTATATCCTTTAGAGCACTTTCTTTTCCTCTCTTTTTTACTATGACAATTATACATTTTGGGTTTTATTACTCCCACAGTTCTTATTACTTTCTATTTGAAGAGAATAAAATCCAATGTGACATAACAAAACAGAGTCAGTCAAATCAAAAGAATGGATATAGTACATAATATAAAAACGGAAGACAAAGTGATGATGATCATTGGTTACCATAATGCCTCTTGCTAACTTAAAAAGAATTGCCTATATCATCAGTTATAATAAAACTGAAAACATTAAAGAACAAAACCAATAAAAGCAAAACATTGGAGACATTGCAGGACTTCAAAAAAAGATAATATGCAAACCCAAAACCCAGGATTATTTTATGAAGCCACATGGAAGGAGGGTTTTAGGCTGCATGCAAATGCTTCTGCTCATAACATTTGGTCCACACAGTGAGAAACAGAAGCCACACACATGCATATTTGGGTCTTCGCTCATGCTGTCCTTGTCTTGTTTCTTGCTAGAGGTAAAAGTATTGACAGTTTCCCTGAGGCTTCGGCCCCCACTAGTGTTCCTTTGAGTGACATCAGTAACTGAAGATATGTGTCACAGGCTCTTCAGTAATGAGAGTAACTTTGTTAACCTGAAGTGATAAAGTGCAGTGAACAGGCTTCGTTTAGGACTTCACTGTCCCTCAGTAACTATCCTCAGAGGTACCTGAGGTTGTACAGAGAACAGAATCTTGAAGGGGGGGTGATGCTGTCCCTGGGCTTCCCGGGGCTTCCATGAAGGAAGGCTATAGGTCAACCTGCCCTGCTCTCTCTCTGCTATGTGGTCCATTTCCCCCAGACAAACAGGCCTTCAGGTTGGCATTCAATTAAAATGAGACTTCTCAGGACAGGTAGAAAGTTTAGCTAATAGGTTTTGAGTCAGTTTATGTTATTTAAAGCCTATGTGATGTGTTTTCTTATAATGTACTGTTAGCTGATGTTGTTTTTTCCCTCCTCAGTTGCTAGCTTGCAGAGAAGAAGAACGAGATGACAAGACAACGATAAAATGTGAAACTTCCCCTCTCTCCTCTCCGAAGTCCCTTCAGCTAGACAGGCTGCACACAGGGGCGTTGCAAATAGTCAGCCACGAGGACATCAGGGACATGCAAAAGTAAGGAGCAGGTCTCGTAGGCCACCAGACCCCTGAGAAACCTGCTTGTCTTAGTTTTTAAGAACATCTATTAATCTTTTCCTGTGAGAAAAACCAAGTTTTTAAAGAATTCTCAGCAAGCTCATTTGGTTGTGATTATTTAAACGTTAGACCTACAATGTGTTCTCCTGTTCTGCGGCTGTAGTGACATCCAGTGGAAAAGGCCATCTGTTTGGGCAAAGTTTAGAAAGAATAGGAATTATTTGAAATTAGCACTTGAGAGAAAAGCTCCATTTCTTCAGATCCCACACACTCACTTCTTTTAAGAACTTTCTTTCTATTCCTGGTGAAGAATTTGCCACACGGATGTGGCAGGTTCTGGATTGTGCTATTCTGTGGACAATCGGTGCCTCTCAGGTACCCTCCCACACTCTGGGTCTTCTAAGCTCTTGAGAGTCCCACATTGTCCCTATCCCTTTAGGAAGCATGTTCCATCAGGAGGCCATGAAGGCTTGGTTACTTATAGACTGTTGTTTTCCACACTTCCTCTTAGAAGCTTTTGTTCCATACCAGGCAGTATGATCAAGCAGGCACATTGGTCTCCACAGTGTCCTGAGAGATAGTACAGCTCTCACTTTGCAGGAGAGCAGGATCCAAGGAACCAGCCTGCAGGAGCTGCTGAGAGGGAAGGTGGAATTCCAGTTCTTCTGGCTTCTGAGACCTTGTTCTCTTTCCTGAGGGCTGAGTGTAAACCTCACTGGCTGAGCAAGGCCCCTGCAGAGGGTGTTCCCTTAGATGTCCAAACCAGGCAGGCTAGAGTACAGGCCTCCTCTGAGCAGGGAGCAACATCAGAATCTTGGCTTTCCAGACATATAGGTCTGTGGAAGCATTACTGGGACCCTGCATTGCTATGCATAGTGTGCTGTGGGTAAGAGACTGGAAAGGATCTTCAGGGAGTTGAAGTAGGAATATTAAAAATGCAGACTGTTTTGGTACATGTGAGTGGACTGTGGAGTTCTAAAGAGGGCATGTGGTAAAAGTCCATTTTCTTTCCTTCAAGATCAAAAAGTGCCCAGGATGGTCCTGTGAGCAATCCCAGTAGCAGTGACAGCAGGCAGGACTCGCCCCACAAAGCCCCAAAGAAGAAGGGCATCAAGTCCTCCATTGGTCGTTTGTTTGGCAAAAAGGAAAAGGGTCGGCCTGGACAAACTGGCAAAGAATCACCAGGACAAGGTGGGTGGGGTTTCGGCAGCTGTCCTAACTGCTGGGAATGGGAGAACGTGAACTTTGTCCTGTGTGCCTGCCGCAGGTGCGCAGTGTCCACCTGGAGTCATGGCTGAGGGTTCTCCAGAAAAGCCCAGTCTGCTTTATCAGTCTGCCCATGTGTGAACCAAAGCAGAGCAGTGGACATTCATTTGGCGTGAATGAATAACCCTCATAAGTGCTACTTTACACTCTTGAACATTTGTATGTGTTTGCTTGGAAGCTTACACTTCAGAAATTATTTAGCTCTCTACCTGCAGAACCTTCAACCTATTTGTGAAACATATAACTTTGCCATGTTAATTTACTGTAAATTTGGGGGCTTTTCTGATTTTTTAATAGCTGTTCTTTCTGAAACAGAAACCTCATCTCAGGATGCGTTCCGACTTAGCAAATTGGGAGGAAAGGCTGAAAAAAATCGAAACTTTCAAAAAAAGTAAGCTTTTTGTTATTTCTCCATCTCATGAAACAGGTTTCTGAGTTAACAGTAATTGTTAGCTGATTTTAAGTGTAATTTCTAGCTATGTAAATACATTGTCTTTTGAAAGATGAACCTAAAGCAGTGATAGAGCTTTCAGTGATACAAAGAGCTTGCTGCAGCATGCACGCCATAGGTTTGCCTCCATTGACCTAAAGCCTGTTTTAAGCCATCATGTCTGGAGAACAGAGGACATTTGGAAATTTGGACTGAACTCACACATGTATTCTCAGTCTACCTTTTCAGAGTTGTCTCCCAGGATGATAGAATGGGTAATAGTTAGGCTTGGCCATTTGAGCTCTGGCCGCTGAATCCTGGTTAATTCTCTAGTTAGCTGTGTGTCTCTGACAAAGTTACTTATCCTGTGCTTCAGTTTTCTCAACTGTCAAATGGCAGTTACAGTTGTTCATACATCATGTGGCTGTTTTTCAGTTCAATAGAATTATATATGTGCATGTATATGTTTTATAACATGGACACAATTCCTAAATAAGTTACAATTACAGTCAGGCTTCTGAGACCTTGTTTTCTTTCCTGTTGACTGAGTGCATCCCTCAGTGCCTGAGCAAGGCCCCTGCAGAGGGTGTTCCCTTATGTGTCCCAACAAGGCAGGCTAGAGTACAGGCCTGCTCTGAGCAGGGAGCACATCAGAATCTTGGCTTTCCAGACACAGGTCTGTGGAAGCATTACTGGGACCCTGCATCACAATGCATATTGTACTGTGTGTAAGAGACTCGAAACGTTTTTTAGGAAGTTGAAGGTAGGAATATTAAAAATGCAGACTGTTCTTGTACGTGTGAATGGACTGTGGAGCTGGGAAGAGGGTGGTAAAAATCCATTTTATTTCTTTGAAGCTCAACAGGCTCCCAGGAAGGTCCTGTGAACAATCCCAGTACCAGTGACAGCAGGCAGGACGCGCTCCACAAAGCCCCAAAGAAGAAGAGCATCAAGTCCTCCACTGGTCGTTTGTTTGGCAAAAAGAAAAAGGGTCCGCCTGGACAAACTGGCAAAGAATCACCAAGACAAGGTGGGCCGGTTTTAGGCAGCTGTCCTAACTGCTGGGATTGGGAGAGCATGAGCTTTTTCCTATGTACCTGCCACAGGTGTCCAGTGCCCACAAGGAATCATGGCTGAGCATTCTCCAGACAGCCCAGTCTGCCCACATGTGAACCAGAGCAGAGCAGTGGACATTCATTTGGCGTGAATGAATAACCCTCTTATATGCTAATTTATACGCTTGAACATTTATATGTGTTTGCTCGGAAGCTTACACTTCAGAAATGATTCAGCTCTCTACCTGCAGAATCTTCTTCCTATTTGTGAAACATATAACTTTGCCATGTTAATTTACTCTAAATTTGGTGAATTTTCTTCTTTTTTGTAGCTGTTGTTTCTGAAACAGAAAACTCATCTCAGGATGCCTTCCAACTTAGCAAATTGGGAGGAAAGGATGAAAAAAATCATCAACTTCAAAAACAGTAAGCTTTTTGTTATTTCTCCATCTCATGAAACAGTTTTCTGAGTTAACAGTCATTCTTAGCTGATTGTAAGTGTAATTTCTAGCTATGTAAATACATTGTCTTTTGAAAGATGAACCTAAAGCAGTGATAGAGCTTTCAGTGATACAAAGAGCTTGCTGCAGCATGCACGCCATAGGTTTGCCTCCACTGACCTAAAGCCTGTTTTAAGCCATCATGTCTGGAGAACAGAGGACATTAGGAAGTCTTGACTGAATTCACACATGTATTCTCAGTCTACCTTTTCAGAGTGTTCTCCCAGGAAAATAGAATGGGTAATAGTTAGGCTTGGCCATTTGAGCTCTGGCCGCTGAATCCTGGTTAATTCTCTAGTTAGCTGTGTGTCTCTGACAAAGTTACTTATCCTGTGCTTCAGTTTTCTCATCTGTCAAATGGCAGTTACAGTTGTTCATACATCATGTGGCTGTTTTTCAGTTCAATAGAATTATATATGTGCATGTATATGTTTTATAACATGGACACAATTCCTAAATAAGTTACAATTACAGTCAGGCTTCTGAGACCTTGTTTTCTTTCCTGTTGACTGAGTGCATCCCTCAGTGCCTGAGCAAGGCCCCTGCAGAGGGTGTTCCCTTATGTGTCCAAACAAGGTAGGCTAGAGTACAGGCCTGCTCTGAGCAGGGAGCACATCAGAATCTTGGCTTTCCAGACACAGGTCTGTGGAAGCATTACTGGGACCCTGCATCACAATGCATATTGTACTGTGTGTAAGAGACTCGAAACGTTTTTTAGGAAGTTGAAGGTAGGAATATTAAAAATGCAGACTGTTCTTGTACGTGTGAATGGACTGTGGAGCTGGGAAGAGGGTGGTAAAAATCCATTTTATTTCTTTGAAGCTCAACAGGCTCCCAGGAAGGTCCTGTGAACAATCCCAGCACCAGTGACAGCAGGCAGGACGCGCTCCACAAAGCCCCAAAGAAGAAGAGCATCAAGTCCTCCACTGGTCGTTTGTTTGGCAAAAAGAAAAAGGTTCTGCCTGGACAAACTGGCAAAGAATCACCAAGACAAGGTGGGCCGGTTTTAGGCAGCTGTCCTAACTGCTGGGATTGGGAGAGCCTGAGATTTTTCCTATGTGCCTGCTGCCGGTGTCCAGTGCCCACGAGGAGTCATGGCTGAGCGTTCTCCTGACAGCCCAGTTTGCCCACATGTGAAACAAAGCAGAGCAGTGGAAATTCATTTGGCTTGAATGAATAACCCTCTTATATGCTAATTTATACTCTTGAACATTTATATGTGTTTGCTCGGAAGCTTACCCTTCAGAAATTATTCAGCTCTCTACCTGCAGAATCTTCTTCCTATTTGTGAAACATATAACTTTGCCATGTTAATTTACTCTAAATTTGGGGGCTTTTCTTCTTTTTTGTAGCTGTTGTTTCTGAAATACCAAACTCATCTCAGGATGCCTTCCAACTTAGCAAACTGGGAGGAAAAGATGAAAAAAATCATCAACTTCAAAAACAGTAAGCTTTTTGTTATTTCTCCATCTCATGAAACAGTTTTCTGAGTTAACAGTCATTCTTAGCTGATTTTAAGTGTAATTTCTAGCTATGTAAATACATTGTCTTTTGAAAGATGAATCTAAAGCAGTGATAGAGCTTTCAGTGATACAAAGAGCTTGCTGCAGCATGCACGCCATAGGTTTGCCTCCATTGACCTAAAGGCTGTTTTAAGCCATCATGTCTGGAGAACCAAGGACATTTGGAAATTTTGACTTAACTCACACATTTATTCTCAGTCTCCCTTTGCAGACTTGTCTCCCTAGTGGACAGAGTGGTTAAAAGTTAGGCTTAGACATTTGAACTCTGGCCGCTGAATCCTGGTTAATTCTCTAGGTAGCTGTGTGTCTCTGACAAAGTTACTTATCCTGTGCTTCAGTTTTCTCAACTGTCAAATGGCAGTTACAGTTGTTCATACATCATGTGGCTGTTTTTCAGTTCAATAGAATTATATATGTGCACGTATATGTTTTAAAACATGGACACAGGTCCTAAATATGTTACAATTATAGTCAGGCTTCTGAGACCTTGTTCTCTTTCCTGTTGACTGAGTGCATCCCTCAGTGCCTGAGCAAGGCCCCTGCAGAGGGTGTTCCCTTATGTGTCCAAACCAAGCAGGCTAGAGTACAGGCCTGCTCTGAGCAGGGAGCACATCAGAATCTTGGCTTTCTAGACACTGGTCTGGGGAAGCATTACTGGGACCCTGAATCACAATGAATATTGTATTGTGTGTAAGAGAGTTGAAAAATTCTTTAGGAAGTTGAAGGTAGGAATATTAAAAATGCACACTTTTCTTGTACATGTGAATGGACTGTGGAGCTGTGAAGAGGGTGGTAAAAGTCCATTTTCTTTCCTTCAAGCTCAACAGGCTCCCAGGATGTTCCTGTGAGCGTTCCCAGCAGCAGTGACAGCAGGGAGGACCCACTCCACAAAGCTCTAAAGAAGAAGAGCATCAAGTCCTCCACTGGTCGTTTGTTTGGCAAAAAGGAAAAGGGTTCGCCTGGACAAACTGGCAAAGAATCACCAAGACAAGGTGGGCCGGTTTTAGGCAGCTGTCCTAACTGCTGGGATTGGGAGAGCATGCCGTTTTTCCTATGTACCTGCCACAGGTGTCCAGTGCCCACAAGGAATCATGGCTGAGCATTCTCCAGACAGCCCAGTCTGCCCACATGTGAACCAGAGCAGAGCAGTGGACATTCATTTGGCGTGAATGAATAACCCTCTTATATGCTAATTTATACGCTTGAACATTTATATGTGTTTGCTCGGAAGCTTACCCTTCAGAAATTATTCAGCTCTCTACCTGCAGAATCTTCTTCCTATTTGTGAAACATATAACTTTGCCATGTTAATTTACTCTAAATTTGGGGAATTTTCTTCTTTTTTGTAGCTGTTGTTTCTGAAGCCGAAAACTCATCTCAGGATGCCTTCCAACTTAGCAAATTGGGAGGAAAGGATGAAAAAAATCGTCAGCTTCAAAAACAGTAAGCTTTTTGTTATTTCTCCATCTCATGAAACAGTTTTCTGAGTTAACAGTCATTCTTAGCTGATTGTAAGTGTAATTTCTAGCTATGTAAATACATTGTCTTTTGAAAGATGAACCTAAAGCAGTGATAGAGCTTTCAGTGATACAAAGAGCTTGCTGCAGCATGCACGCCATAGGTTTGCCTCCACTGACCTAAAGCCTGTTTTAAGCCATCATGTCTGGAGAACAGAGGACATTAGGAAGTCTTGACTGAATTCACACATGTATTCTCAGTCTACCTTTTCAGAGTGTTCTCCCAGGAAAATAGAATGGGTAATAGTTAGGCTTGGCCATTTGAGCTCTGGCCGCTGAATCCTGGTTAATTCTCTAGTTAGCTGTGTGTCTCTGACAAAGTTACTTATCCTGTGCTTCAGTTTTCTCATCTGTCAAATGGCAGTTACAGTTGTTCATACATCATGTGGCTGTTTTTCAGTTCAATAGAATTATATATGTGCATGTATATGTTTTATAACATGGACACAATTCCTAAATAAGTTACAATTACAGTCAGGCTTCTGAGACCTTGTTTTCTTTCCTGTTGACTGAGTGCATCCCTCAGTGCCTGAGCAAGGCCCCTGCAGAGGGTGTTCCCTTATGTGTCCAAACAAGGTAGGCTAGAGTACAGGCCTGCTCTGAGCAGGGAGCACATCAGAATCTTGGCTTTCCAGACACAGGTCTGTGGAAGCATTACTGGGACCCTGCATCACAATGCATATTGTACTGTGTGTAAGAGACTCGAAACGTTTTTTAGGAAGTTGAAGGTAGGAATATTAAAAATGCAGACTGTTCTTGTACGTGTGAATGGACTGTGGAGCTGGGAAGAGGGTGGTAAAAATCCATTTTATTTCTTTGAAGCTCAACAGGCTCCCAGGAAGGTCCTGTGAACAATCCCAGCACCAGTGACAGCAGGCAGGACGCGCTCCACAAAGCCCCAAAGAAGAAGAGCATCAAGTCCTCCACTGGTCGTTTGTTTGGCAAAAAGAAAAAGGTTCTGCCTGGACAAACTGGCAAAGAATCACCAAGACAAGGTGGGCCGGTTTTAGGCAGCTGTCCTAACTGCTGGGATTGGGAGAGCCTGAGATTTTTCCTATGTGCCTGCTGCCGGTGTCCAGTGCCCACGAGGAATCATGGCTGAGCGTTCTCCTGACAGCCCAGTTTGCCCACATGTGAAACAAAGCAGAGCAGTGGAAATTCATTTGGCTTGAATGAATAACCCTCTTATATGCTAATTTATACTCTTGAACATTTATATGTGTTTGCTCGGAAGCTTACCCTTCAGAAATTATTCAGCTCTCTACCTGCAGAATCTTCTTCCTATTTGTGAAACATATAACTTTGCCATGTTAATTTACTCTAAATTTGGGGGCTTTTCTTCTTTTTTGTAGCTGTTGTTTCTGAAACACCAAACTCATCTCAGGGTGCCTTCCAACTTCGCAAACTGGGAGGAAAGGATGAAAAAAATCATCAACTTCAAAAACAGTAAGCTTTTTGTTATTTCTCCATCTCATGAAACAGTTTTCTGAGTTAACAGTCATTCTTAGCTGATTTTAAGTGTAATTTCTAGCTATGTAAATACATTGTCTTTTGAAAGATGAATCTAAAGCAGTGATAGAGCTTTCAGTGATACAAAGAGCTTGCTGCAGCATGCACGCCATAGGTTTGCCTCCATTGACCTAAAGGCTGTTTTAAGCCATCATGTCTGGAGAACCAAGGACATTTGGAAATTTTGACTTAACTCACACATTTATTCTCAGTCTCCCTTTTCAGACTTGTCTCCCTAGTGGACAGCGTGGTTAAAAGTTAGGCTTAGACATTTGAACTCTGGCCGCTGAATCCTGGTTAATTCTCTAGGTAGCTGTGTGTCTCTGACAAAGTTACTTATCCTGTGCTTCAGTTTTCTCAACTGTCAAATGGCAGTTACAGTTGTTCATACATCATGTGGCTGTTTTTCAGTTCAATAGAATTATATATGTGCACGTATATGTTTTAAAACATGGACACAGGTCCTAAATATGTTACAATTATAGTCAGGCTTCTGAGACCTTGTTCTCTTTCCTGTTGACTGAGTGCATCCCTCAGTGCCTGAGCAAGGCCCCTGCAGAGGGTGTTCCCTTATGTGTCCAAACCAAGCAGGCTAGAGTACAGGCCTGCTCTGAGCAGGGAGCACATCAGAATCTTGGCTTTCTAGACACTGGTCTGGGGAAGCATTACTGGGACCCTGAATCACAATGAATATTGTATTGTGTGTAAGAGAGTTGAAAAATTCTTTAGGAAGTTGAAGGTAGGAATATTAAAAATGCACACTTTTCTTGTACATGTGAATGGACTGTGGAGCTGTGAAGAGGGTGGTAAAAGTCCATTTTCTTTCCTTCAAGCTCAACAGGCTCCCAGGATGTTCCTGTGAGCGTTCCCAGCAGCAGTGACAGCAGGGAGGACCCACTCCACAAAGCTCTAAAGAAGAAGAGCATCAAGTCCTCCACTGGTCGTTTGTTTGGCAAAAAGGAAAAGGGTTCGCCTGGACAAACTGGCAAAGAATCACCAAGACAAGGTGGGCCGGTTTTAGGCAGCTGTCCTAACTGCTGGGATTGGGAGAGCATGCCGTTTTTCCTATGTACCTGCCACAGGTGTCCAGTGCCCACAAGGAATCATGGCTGAGCATTCTCCAGACAGCCCAGTCTGCCCACATGTGAACCAGAGCAGAGCAGTGGACATTCATTTGGCGTGAATGAATAACCCTCTTATATGCTAATTTATACGCTTGAACATTTATATGTGTTTGCTCGGAAGCTTACCCTTCAGAAATGATTCAGCTCTCTACCTGCAGAATCTTCTTCCTATTTGTGAAACATATAACTTTGCCATGTTAATTTACTCTAAATTTGGGGAATTTTCTTCTTTTTTGTAGCTGTTGTTTCTGAAGCCGAAAACTCATCTCAGGATGCCTTCCAACTTAGCAAATTGGGAGGAAAGGATGAAAAAAATCGTCAGCTTCAAAAACAGTAAGCTTTTTGTTATTTCTCCATCTCATGAAACAGTTTTCTGAGTTAACAGTCATTCTTAGCTGATTGTAAGTGTAATTTCTAGCTATGTAAATACATTGTCTTTTGAAAGATGAACCTAAAGCAGTGATAGAGCTTTCAGTGATACAAAGAGCTTGCTGCAGCATGCACGCCATAGGTTTGCCTCCACTGACCTAAAGCCTGTTTTAAGCCATCATGTCTGGAGAACAGAGGACATTAGGAAGTCTTGACTGAATTCACACATGTATTCTCAGTCTACCTTTTCAGAGTGTTCTCCCAGGAAAATAGAATGGGTAATAGTTAGGCTTGGCCATTTGAGCTCTGGCCGCTGAATCCTGGTTAATTCTCTAGTTAGCTGTGTGTCTCTGACAAAGTTACTTATCCTGTGCTTCAGTTTTCTCATCTGTCAAATGGCAGTTACAGTTGTTCATACATCATGTGGCTGTTTTTCAGTTCAATAGAATTATATATGTGCATGTATATGTTTTATAACATGGACACAATTCCTAAATAAGTTACAATTACAGTCAGGCTTCTGAGACCTTGTTTTCTTTCCTGTTGACTGAGTGCATCCCTCAGTGCCTGAGCAAGGCCCCTGCAGAGGGTGTTCCCTTATGTGTCCAAACAAGGTAGGCTAGAGTACAGGCCTGCTCTGAGCAGGGAGCACATCAGAATCTTGGCTTTCCAGACACAGGTCTGTGGAAGCATTACTGGGACCCTGCATCACAATGCATATTGTACTGTGTGTAAGAGACTCGAAACGTTTTTTAGGAAGTTGAAGGTAGGAATATTAAAAATGCAGACTGTTCTTGTACGTGTGAATGGACTGTGGAGCTGGGAAGAGGGTGGTAAAAATCCATTTTATTTCTTTGAAGCTCAACAGGCTCCCAGGAAGGTCCTGTGAACAATCCCAGCACCAGTGACAGCAGGCAGGACGCGCTCCACAAAGCCCCAAAGAAGAAGAGCATCAAGTCCTCCACTGGTCGTTTGTTTGGCAAAAAGAAAAAGGTTCTGCCTGGACAAACTGGCAAAGAATCACCAAGACAAGGTGGGCCGGTTTTAGGCAGCTGTCCTAACTGCTGGGATTGGGAGAGCCTGAGATTTTTCCTATGTGCCTGCTGCCGGTGTCCAGTGCCCACGAGGAGTCATGGCTGAGCGTTCTCCTGACAGCCCAGTTTGCCCACATGTGAAACAAAGCAGAGCAGTGGAAATTCATTTGGCTTGAATGAATAACCCTCTTATATGCTAATTTATACTCTTGAACATTTATATGTGTTTGCTCGGAAGCTTACCCTTCAGAAATTATTCAGCTCTCTACCTGCAGAATCTTCTTCCTATTTGTGAAACATATAACTTTGCCATGTTAATTTACTCTAAATTTGGGGGCTTTTCTTCTTTTTTGTAGCTGTTGTTTCTGAAATACCAAACTCATCTCAGGATGCCTTCCAACTTAGCAAACTGGGAGGAAAGGATGAAAAAAATCATCAACTTCAAAAACAGTAAGCTTTTTGTTATTTCTCCATCTCATGAAACAGTTTTCTGAGTTAACAGTCATTCTTAGCTGATTTTAAGTGTAATTTCTAGCTATGTAAATACATTGTCTTTTGAAAGATGAATCTAAAGCAGTGATAGAGCTTTCAGTGATACAAAGAGCTTGCTGCAGCATGCACGCCATAGGTTTGCCTCCATTGACCTAAAGGCTGTTTTAAGCCATCATGTCTGGAGAACCAAGGACATTTGGAAATTTTGACTTAACTCACACATTTATTCTCAGTCTCCCTTTTCAGACTTGTCTCCCTAGTGGACAGCGTGGTTAAGAGTTAGGCTTAGACATTTGAGCTCTGGCCGCTGAATCCTGGTTACTTCTCTAGTTAGCTGTGTGTCTCTGACAAAGTTACTTAGCTTGTGCTTCAGTTCTCTAAACTGTCAAATGGCAGTTACAGTTGTTCATACATCATGTGGCTGTTTTTCAGTTCAATAGAATTATATATGTGCACGTATATGTTTTAAAACATGGACACAGGTCCTAAATATGTTACAATTATAGTCAGGCTTCTGAGACCTTGTTCTCTTTCCTGTTGACTGAGTGCATCCCTCAGTGCCTGAGCAAGGCCCCTGCAGAGGGTGTTCCCTTATGTGTCCAAACCAAGCAGGCTAGAGTACAGGCCTGCTCTGAGCAGGGAGCACATCAGAATCTTGGCTTTCTAGACACTGGTCTGGGGAAGCATTACTGGGACCCTGAATCACAATGAATATTGTATTGTGTGTAAGAGAGTTGAAAAATTCTTTAGGAAGTTGAAGGTAGGAATATTAAAAATGCACACTTTTCTTGTACATGTGAATGGACTGTGGAGCTGTGAAGAGGGTGGTAAAAGTCCATTTTCTTTCCTTCAAGCTCAACAGGCTCCCAGGATGTTCCTGTGAGCGTTCCCAGCAGCAGTGACAGCAGGGAGGACCCACTCCACAAAGCTCTAAAGAAGAAGAGCATCAAGTCCTCCACTGGTCGTTTGTTTGGCAAAAAGGAAAAGGGTCGGCCTGGACAAACTGGCAAAGAATCACCAAGACAAGGTGGGCCGGTTTTAGGCAGCTGTCCTAACTGCTGGGATTGGGAGAGCATGCCGTTTTTCCTATGTACCTGCCACAGGTGTCCAGTGCCCACAAGGAATCATGGCTGAGCATTCTCCAGACAGCCCAGTCTGCCCACATGTGAACCAGAGCAGAGCAGTGGACATTCATTTGGCGTGAATGAATAACCCTCTTATATGCTAATTTATACGCTTGAACATTTATATGTGTTTGCTCGGAAGCTTACCCTTCAGAAATGATTCAGCTCTCTACCTGCAGAATCTTCTTCCTATTTGTGAAACATATAACTTTGCCATGTTAATTTACTCTAAATTTGGGGAATTTTCTTCTTTTTTGTAGCTGTTGTTTCTGAAGCCGAAAACTCATCTCAGGATGCCTTCCAACTTAGCAAATTGGAAGGAAAGGATGAAAAAAATCATCAACTTCAAAAAAAGTAAGCTTTTTGTTATTTCTCCATCTCATGAAACAGTTTTCTGAGTTAACCATCATTGTTAACTGATTTTAAGTGTAATTTCTAGCTATGTAAATACATTGTCTTTTGAAAGATGAACCTAAAGCAGTGATAGAGCTTTCAGTGATACAAAGAGCTTGCTGCAGCATGCATGCCATAGGTTTGCCTCCATTGACCTAAAGCCTGTTTTAAGCCATCATGTCTGGAGAACAGAGGACATTCGGAAACTTTGACTGAACTCACATGTGTATTCTCAGTCTTCCTTTGCAGAGTTGTGTCTCTAGATGATAGAATGGGTAATAGTTAGGCTTGGCCATTTGAGCTTTGGCCGCTGAATCCTGGTTAATTCTCTAGTTAGCTGTCTGACAAAGTTATTTAGCTTAGGCTTCAGTTTTCTCAACTGTCAAATGACTGTTACAATTGTTCATGCATCGTGTGGCTTTTTCTCAGTTTGATAGAATTATATATGTGCATGTATATGTTTTAAAACATGGACACAAGTCCTAAATAAGCTATAATTAAGGTCACTGTGGTGACTTCTATTGTTTACACAAGTGGTCCTCCAGAAGCATTTACCGTGATAGAATTTTACATTTTATCTGAGATTGGATCTCTACTTTACAGTGTATTATTGAACTATAATCCTCTACTAAATCTTAAGGGGCTGAGGAGTGGAGTATAAGTGAGAGCGTACTGGCTTGACATACCATCCCTAGGCCCACATAAAGATAGATTCTGAAAATAATATATACTGTTCCGAATGATTTTGCATAGGGGAGCACAGGCACCAACATATCAGGGAAGTATGTACACTTCTCTGATGTAGGATTGGTTGTGTAAGCTGATCACACCCAAAACTAGAGTTATAAGTGAACTAGATAGGTTGAGACATTTTCCTAGTGAGATGATTAATAAAATATCAATCAAAAAGCTTTCTGCAACAAAATCAGACAGTATGTAATGTCTAAGAGGTACAATTTGAACTTGACAGTAGGGAAAGTTTGAAAGCCTAAGGTAAGATGGGCACACTGGTCTTGAGAAAAGGTGAAAGTTGGTGGGTTCTTGGATAAATTTGTATATGGGAAACATCAGGTGTCCACTTCTCAGTGAAGCCAGGACTGTGTGGAACTCAGAGTGCAAAGGCCCTGACACTAGCATTGCACTCGAATCCCTAGGAACCCTTTCTGCTGGAAAGTTATGAAATCTCACTCATTTTAGTTGTCTTCTCTGAATTCATGACTGCCTTTTTTTTTAAACTTCTATTGGTATGTGTTTGCAGTACATAATAATCATGTTGGTTCTTGGGAGTTGATACATGTCCATGACACATTTCTATTCTTTATTTTCCACCATCCTTGTATTTTGCCAGAATCCCATTCATGCATTTCTCTTATAAACCCTTGTCATGTATACAGATTAAAAATAAGACTATTAAAAAGAAATATATATATATATATATAAGATATATATATCAATATCAATATATATTATATATATATATATCAAACATACCAGACTATAAGCCAAAACACATATAAAAGATGGAACACAGTTGTACTAAGTCGAAGTATTCCTTTAGATATATTTTCCATGCTGAGTTACAATAACTTTTTTCTTCTATTGTCTGTCTTTTATTTCATAGCTAACTTATATATGAAGTTTTTCATATTATAATGAGTCTTTTGTTTTTTATTTTATTCATTTATTTTTTGAGACAAGAATCACACTTTGTAATTCAGGCTGGACTGAACTCACAGCAGTCCTCCTGATTTAGTTGCCCAAGTGGTGGGATTACAGGCATGTGCTACCGCACTTGGCCATAGTAACTGTTTTAAGCAGCTCAACAGTGATGACATGCCATTGCAGGTGAAATTCTGTTATGGAAACATTCTATACAAATACTCAATCTTTGGTGCTCTGTAAATAGAATTTTATAGTACCATTTAACCACAAAATCTGAACTGTGTAAAAGTCTTTTATAATAATTTAAGCAATGAGCAGTTGGCTTTGTGGAGCTTAATATTAAAGCTAGTCATTTTCCCTCTCGAAACCATGCTAAAGAAATAGTGTTGCCTAGATTTTGCCAGTGTCTTTTATTTCACGTGCTCATTTCAATGTAATAAAAACAACAGCAGCACAGCTTGATCATTCACCCCATTGCCTTCTGAAGTTTATGTTTCATGGAAGAGAAGAAATAATTTTCCTAATATGTTTGGCTATTTTGCTGGGGATGTGGCTCGGTAGTGTAGTACTCTTAGCATGCATTAAGGCCTTAGGTTCAATCCCCAGTACCACAATAAAAGCAAAAAACAGAAAACCAAAATGTTTCCCTGTTGTAAAAATTGACTTTCTAACTCTCAAGAAGTGTGTGTTCACCCTCAGGACAGGCTTTGAATTATTTGCCCAAACACATGATTAAATTGCACACCAGGCATGCATGTTTACAGGTTTGTGTGCGTGCGCGCGCGCGCGCGCGTGTGTGTGTGTGTGTGTGTGTGTGTGTGTGTGTGTGTGTGGTGGTAGGGAGGGAGATTTCTCGGTAGCAAGGAGATTCAAGTTTATGCTGCTTACTCCAAACATCTGTTGTGGCTGTTTCAAGGTGTCTAAGAATGGGTCTTTGCTCTGTACTTTATAGTTCTATGTGGGATGCATATGTGATTTCTCAACCATAGTAGAAAGTTCATAGGGAAAATTCTAAAGTAGTCATCTGACTATGGTGGGCAGTTTTGTGATATCTGTCAGATAACCTGAATTGTAATTGATTTGAAGAAAAAAAGTATTTTGTGAATACAGGGTACAGTTTAATACTTTGAGCATTATTGTTTTGTTTTGTTTTGTTTTTTTGTTTTTTTTTTTGTTTTTGTTTTTGTTTTTTCTGAGACAGGTCTCACTATGCAGTTCAGGCTGGCTTTGAGCTCACTTTGTAGCTCAGGCTGACCTCAAACTCACAATGATCCTCCTGCCTCAGCCTCTCAAGTGCTGGAATTACAGGCATGCACAACCACATCCAGCTACTTTGAGCATTCTTGATGTAATAAAAAACTGTTCTGTGAATACAGAGTACAGTTCAACACTTTGGTACTTTCTCAGAAATACAGTACTTCTTGTGATGAGCCCTAACTTGGCTGTAGGCCATGCTCCTTGCCGCTGAACCACTAGCCTATCACATTGACTGAAGGAGGGTTCCCAGGACTCAGTGCACACGTTGACCAGCTGAACTCATGCTCTCTGAGAATTACTGGAAGAATTTGATGCTCTGCTGACACTTGAGGTGCTCAGTAGTCAATGCAACTATCAGCATGACTCAGACTGGAGTCCGTTCATCAGCTCATAGAATGCTGTGTGAAGTTTCAAAACATGGATCTCCAACTCACCTTTGTCTTTGTAGTGCTCTCCTTCCGGTTGCGTGGCATTGTGGTGCATTTGCTGTGGGAAGTTGGTTACACATGGAGCCATACTCAG